AGAGAGAGAGAGAGGGAGAGAGAGAGAAAGAGGGAGGGAGGGAGGGAGGAAGAGATTTGCTTTGTCAGTGAGCATATATTTATTATTTTTGAGAAATGTTTCAGTATGGCTCGCAACTAGTGAAATAATTGTGTAATTTGGCTTAGCTATTTTGCTATTATTACAACCAAGCAGTTAGAGAATTCGATGTATGTTTTTAATTGTGACGTGAGAACTGTCCTGATTGACATTACCATGCCAGTATGTTAGTTTACAGAAGTGTGAGATACGCCGATATTCATCAATTTTCCGAATATAACTACGTTTCCTAATGTTTTGCTTTCGAGGGCTAGGATGGATGACAGGTCGCTTCAATGAAGCGAGAAAATATCAACTTGATTTGGTTGAAGGAATTTGTAAACCAAATCAGTATTCTGTTAGAAGTGGAGAGAGCTTAACTGATTTGTACTACTCTCTGCACATTACATTGAAAATATGTGATAAGCATGTTTGAACTTGACTATAGAAGAAACTCAGAAAGGAGGATTTCAATATAATTCAAATATTTTGATCGATAAACACGCCGTTCACTGTTCTGAACAGCTTCTTTGATAACATGCAGCTATATGGTGAATAATTTAACTTAAACCTAGCAAATCTTATTTTTCCTCCATTGTACAACGCTTTCAAGAAAACAAACTATGCTTATTATGCTTGCCTAGCTAAATTATTTCTTTTGTTTACAATTACTGCTGCGATTATAACATTAATTGTAAATAGTTACTTTTTGTTTTTTTGGAAACAAAAAGAATAATTTAGCTAGGGAAACATAGTAAACGTGTTTGTTTGCAAATTTTTTTCTCATGCATAAAGTAATGTTGTGGGATTCATCTTATTTCGTAAGGCTTGCTCTTCAGTTAGATTCAAATACTCAAAATTCATTCACTTTGAACCTCATGAAAATTATTCTAACCATTTGTTTGCTATCATCAAGAATATCATTCTCTATCCAGCACGTATTGTTCAACTGAACATCGTGAAAGAATAGCTGTGGAATGTCACACTGATTTTACCATCACATCACTTTAGTAAAAGGAATTGGGATGAACGAAGTAACATGGAGTACCAAGAGATTCTTCATTTTAAAACACTTATACAATCACGTAATTCTTCGAAATTCGAGACTCAGTAAAGTCAGAAAGTCTAGGTCAATCATAAACGATAGCCATCGAGAGCTATGAACTTTCCAATTAAAAAGAACTGAGATCCTAGACTTTTCTATAGCTTGAAATCACAGCAAAATTCTTTTACTCGGTAATAAAACTAAACAATCGGCAAAGTGGTTAAGTGTGGTACTAAATAAAACCTTGTACTGGGTAATATTTTAATATGTAACTAGAGAAAATCAACAATAAGTGACTGAGCAAATAGGAGCGGTTTTAAATTAACACTACTTTTTTGAGAAAAACTTTCAGATCCAGACGTAACGCCAACGATAACTATCGACATCAGTCCTGTCGTTGAGGTTAAAAGTGATTATTCCATTTGACATCTTCATAAATACCAAATAATTTAGAGGTGCTAACGGAAATAATGTAAAAGACGTAAAACAAAGTGAAAGACGTCACAGAGGTTGCAAAGGAAAGGAGAAATGTGGGCGTTATATTTTGAATCACATTGAGGATTAAAATCAAGGTCAGTGGAAGGGATATATATATATATATATATATATTGGAATGCACATATACATAGGTACGTTGGGAAATAATTAATCGCAGACTCCATTACCTAATAAGCTCACTATTTTAAATTACTAATTGGTTTAACTTAGAATTATTCCATTTCGAAGCAAGAAAATAAAAAACCGAGAATAATCTATCTAGTACAGACTGAAAAAAAACCTAATCATTGCTCGAGAAAAAAAAAGACGATCTTTCGATTCATTTTTTCTTTTTTTTTTCAAAAAAAAAAGAAGCTTAATTTATTTAAAGCTACTCATTTTCAAAAAAAAAAAAAATGCTTAAAGTCTATACGTAGGAAATTTAGCGAACCTGTAAGTAGAGAATACGCAACTGAAAAATGAAATTAACGATATACAATCGTCCACAGACACTAAAGGTTATAAAAAGAGACAGTAAATGATATAAACGTGGAAGTTGTCTGCATAAATAGTCGAAATATTTGGTTTGATGAAGGATAGACAGCAGATCGGCTTGAAATGTAAAGAGGAAAATGAGGAGATAAGTACTGACAGATGTCTAATGATGTGAGTGAGAGGCGAGGAAGTGCTATGTGTAGATTGGTATGAGTTTTTTGGATAAGAAAAGAGAATATTTGAAAGATCTACTGAACTATCCCGTCCCTTCCTATTTAAGTGGATTTCGTAGTGAGTAACTAAAGGTGAGAGATTCGACCCAGGAATACGCGATTAATTACCGTTTCTATGAGAGCTTTTTAAATGAAGATCAGACAAATCAAAAGAATTGATAGTTGCTATTGGTTGACATTTTTAGAAGTGCAGTCGAAATTGATTATACTGTACCCAGAAGTTTTATTGAACTCTGTAGGAGTTCCTTTCTTTACCTATTTTATTTTCTTCTTCCGTTCCATTAGCTTATGATCTGTCCTAGCTTTCCCGTCCCTTTTTTTTCTCTCTGGTCACCAATACAATGCCAAGTACTTCGTCTATTCAGGTTTCGCTAACAACAGTGTGATTAGCACAGTAGTAAAACAGTGGAAGTGAGACAATAATAAAGAAGAATGGATGTATGAGGATGATAGATATCAATATTGTTATGGCGTTATCTGCGAATTGGAGTGGAATGGCAAATGTAATTAAGCAAAATAAAAAGGAGTGGGGCTGTTGAATATACAAATTATCATTAGGTGATGTAGTGGTGCTATGATTATAACACGAATCGTTCAGCCGAAGAATAAGTGATCGAGGTCACACAGTAGCAACAACAACAACAAATTCATTCACATACTAAATGTATAAATTAAGAACTGATTTGTGCAATCGCTGGCAGCTGGGTAATTGGGAAAAATATATCAGCATAAAATATGAACTAGATCAGAGTATGCTTGTCCAATAAGTTTCGATGTTGTGATGCTTGTCTGTCAGGGCAATTTTGCGCCCCATCAACTTTCTCAAATTTCTGACAAAAAAAGAAAAACTGTGAAACTGAATCATGTGACTATTTGAATAGCAAATGATTGCAAGAAATTCAAAGTGAGATAAAGTTGATTCCCGAAAGGAAAAGCGAGCTCTTCAGTTTGATTACTGGTGAATTAAATGGCTGAACAAATATGGATGGTTTTGAATTAACCCGGAAAGAATTCAGCAAGCCAACTGTTAGCGATATAACAATGAAGCAAACATTTAAAACAGAAGATAACATAATGGTCGTCATTTCTGATCTTGGGGAATGATAAATTATAGAAGAAGTGAAGTTATTAAAATATATCCACCTAATGATATTACAGTGAATAACGAAGTACACTCAATGCAAATTCACTCAGCGTTTACAGTTCAGTGATGTGGACAGAAACTGACAATGAAATGGGTCACAGAGTCACTTTTATAAAGTATTTCGGAGAACCTCACATTGATGTCACCATTCAGAAGCAGTTCACACTGGCGGAAAATGGGGATGCGTAGAATGTTTGCTCAGCAGTTTCTTAATTCAGATTAACATAAGCGATAAGTATCACAGGAAACAACAAAATCAATCAGAGATCATCTGAACATCTGAACTGCTGAATTTCGAGATAGAGAGGGAGAAAGGATTTCGGATAAAGAAACCTCATGAGATTTGTATTTTCCGTATCTCGCGTTTTTTGACCATTATCACTCACATTTCATGATAAGGTAATCGAAATGAATCAGCGGAATTTTAGAGAATTCAGGAAATAACCTTTGATATGATAAAGTCCATATTTAAGTCTCTTCATTGTACTGAAAAAAAATCATAATGTAAAATTTGAAATTAACATAATGTTTTAATCTAGAGTTAGAAAATCTGAGAGCAAAGTTCGTAGTAGGCAGCATTGATAGTTAGAATTATTTATGTTAATAGAATCATTTGGACTTCCTTCACATTGTTATTAATGGCATTGAAATACCACATTCGTCAAGTAGAATAGAATTATATACATTTATTCTAAGGCATTTGTTTCCACTTCCAACCTTTGATCTTTATCAAGTAAGTTGCCACTTTCTCGAAAATTGATACGGTCTTTGTTGTTCTCGTGTTTCTCGTATAATATACAACAGTTGTCAGCCAGATTAACAATCAAGGAATTTTATTTTCCTCCGATCGCATAACATCTGCTGGTTATATGAAATGTGATAAACCATATCCTTAGTCCCCTTTTCTATCAACTGAATTCATTTCCATCAACTGCTTTCAATCCCACAGTATAAAATGGTTGACATAGTTCTCCTGAGCTGTCTTTTTCACAATGTTGGTGGTTGTTACCAAGCTTGCATCCTCTAACAGGAAGTAATTGCAGATGTAGCGCACAATGTTTTCCTGATTATCTTCTGGTCAAGCAACACATCTCTCGATTCCATTCAGCAGCATGATATGATCTAGATCAAGCCCTAATTCGTTTCCTCAACTTTCGACGAGTTCATTTTTATGCCATCACCATCAATCACTTTCTTGTCTTAAACATATTCAGACTCAACGAATGGCGGAAGAAACAGATCAAAAATCTGAAGTTGAGATGATGGAACATTCTTGTTAGAAGGTTCTTGTTAGAACAATCTCGGCAAATTCCTCCATTGTTTATTACAACTCTGTTTTTCTTGAACCGCCCCCAACCTCTTATGATCAGTTGGAAAAGCAACTCTAGCTGTTTCACGGTGCATTTTTTTCTTTCTTGCAGCCTTAGTTCTTCAGTCCAATATGTATGGTTCCCGCTTTTCCTGAGTATGAGCGCAAGTTTCTTAGTATTTGTATTTATCGTTGATGC